TGCATGATTCTTAAAAGCAGCTGAATCGAGCCGTTTTGGCTGCTTTCCATCTCTCTTTTAGGCAGGGCTCTTCTTATTGGACGTTTAAACAGCAGGTACATGGGGCTTTATGCGTGAGATGACCCCATTAGCGATATCCCCTGTCGTTGGCATCACACAGAGCTTAAAGTGCAAAAAACATGTCAGAAACTGAGTCTTTAGAGCAGCCTGAAGTCTGAGTTCTTCGCTCTGGGTCTGGATTATATTTACAAAGGCTGACATGATTATTTGAAATTTCTTGGCCATTTTGGCCAGCAGTGTGAATATTACAGAGAAGAGAGAAATAAAACATAATTTTAGATTCATTTGAATACACTCCATGTTGCTAAGTTGCAAATTGAGTTGCAAAACTGACATGCTTCTTTTTATTCATAGTGACTTTTATAAAAAGCAGCCTTACTTTAATCCATCTGCAGTATGGTGCTGAATCCAAAATGAGTTCTCACTTTTTCCTTGCAGTGCCGTGATTATCTTTTCAATCTGACTCTACTTCACTCTAGTGCTCCCTTCCTAGACTTTTGTCACAGGGAGTCTGAAGGAAATTAAAATCATTGTTAGCAGAAGTGACCCAGTAAAAAAAAAAATAATAATAACACCTAAATTGGTCTGATCCATATCAGGTAAATCAAAGCTGTGTCCTTTCTGTACAGCAGGTTCTGAAATACTGTTTTGTTCAAAACCACTGACATCACAGAGGTATTTAAAAGTGTCGTTGGTGGCTGGAACCCTTTTTCTTAAAAATTTGTGCCACTGTTGGATACGAAGAGCAAAAGCTCCTGTTTGAAGGAGCAATAATTAGCACATAAGACATCAGGAGAGATGGCACTTAAAGAAATGTGTGTTTATTTAACTGGATGTTGGATTTAGGGGCTTGGCCACTTTGATAGGAGTCTGAATAGAGGCAGCTCACATCCACTAAATAGTCATTGAACTGGACCTTTCCCCTGTGTTGGTGCCTTTTGTGGTATGAGCAATCCAAGAAGTTTGAAATTCCAGTGCATTATTAGTCCATTACTTAGCAATCTTCTATGTGGAGCAGTTCTTTTTAAGGACCAGAGTGTGGGGCCCAGTGCTGATTGGAAGACACACAAAGTGCTAACTCTTAATTCATGTAAATGGGAGGAACAGTAAGCCAGCCATCTGGCTCACCATGCTGGCCCTCGCCTTGGGAGAAGACATATTGTCACTCATCTACGTGGATATAGCTTCCTTTCTGACTTTCAGAACTTTATTACCTGGAAGATTGAGCATGCATCAAGACAAAAATTAGCAGGGAATTTAAAAGCCTGAAAATCACTTGGAATATGAAACTAAAATGTTGTAGGGGATACGCAGCACATGTGGATGATGAAACAGTGAATGAAGGAATGACTATTTATACACAAACTGAAAGGGAATTGAATGCAGGGGGTAAATGAGAAATGTGCATGTACAGGACAGGACACAGAAATAAAAAAGAAGTGAGGTTAAAAAAACAAAAATAAAACAAACACAGAATGAGATAGAGGAGGGACAATGACACCAATCTATAAATTCAAGAAACTGGGAAACACCAAAATATTGAATTTATTCCTTGAAAAGCACAAAGCAAACAGAAACCAGAGGCTCAATAAGGAAACAACACAATAGAATAATGAGGAAATAAAAGGTGTAATTCAAAGTCTAAGTAAAAGAAAACAAAACCTAAGCGGAAACTTTGAAATGAAAACAAGACACGCTGAACTAAACATGAGCACAGGGAGAAAACACTAAGGCCAAAGCTAGAACCTAAATTTCACATCAGTTCAGTTTTATTTATATTTTTATCAAATCACAACAACAGTCACCTTGAGGCGCTTTTTAGAGTGGAATAATGTAAAGTCCCTACAATAATACAGAGAAAACCCCACCAATCAGTCAACACACACGAGAAAGCACTTGGTGACAGTGGGAAGAAAAAAACCTCCTTTTAATAGGAGGAAACCTGCAGCACAACCAGGCTCAGTGAGGGGCAGCCATATAAGTAACCGGTTCAGGGCAAGAGGAGGAAGACAGGACAAAAGAGTGCCAGAGATGAATAATAACTAATGATTAAATGCAAAGTGGTGTATAAACACATACAGAGTGAAAAGAAGTGAGTGAAGAAGAAGCACTCAATGCATCACGGGAAGCCTCCAGCAGCCCAGGCAATCTGCAAGGCTGACAACAAGAACCAAAAACTCTAAAATGACATAAAAGGATACAAAGTAGAATCAAACCACAACCCAATACTAACAAAAACGAAGAGCTCAAGAAAAAAGACACAACAAATAAACCTGAATACAAAAACTTGAAGAGTAATCTAAAACACAACGTCAAAGTACAAAAGTAAGATGAGCTAAATACAAATATCAAGCTCAATAAAACATAACTGAATAGATTTAAACTGAACTGAATAGATTTAAAATAGAGTTAAAGAGTTAAAGGAAAATCCAGAAGGCTAAAGACAAGCAGGTTTGTGTGTCTGCATGGTGCACCTGTGCACTTTATTTATGCAGCATGCTACTTAAGTATGATAAGTTAGCATCCAACTTTTAATCAAACTCCATCTAACATGATGGCAGCCAAACACTACTGTTAAATCCAAAACCAATGGGTGACATCACAGCCTCTGCTTTGCTCCAATTGTGATCTGAAGAGCTCTGACAGGAAAATGACAAAAACATAATAGGTCCCCTTTAAGGTAAAAGTTCTGCTATATAAGTTCCTCTTGCTCATAGGTAGAAACAGGCCTTCCCCCACCATATGCTATTAAGGGAGAAAAAAAGCAGAGAGCTCTCAAACCTGAAAAAGCTTTTTTTGTCTCCGAGTTGCCTGAGGGTGGAAACGAAAGCTAGAGCAGGAAATAGGACTGAGGTAAAACCAGCAGTAAGGCCATGGGAGAGAAAGTGGACTTGATGAATGAGGAAAACAGAGAGCAAACTGGGGGGAAGAGAAGAGTGTACGGGGAACAGGGAGCGCACTCTGGCTGCATAATTGGCACGCGCACGCACAGATACCATTTTCCCCACAGCTCTGGAGCGGCTGCTACATTAGCCTCGTTAGATATGCAAAGCGGGCCAATTAGCAGCTCAGTGTGCAGGAAGTGACACGTTCCACCTGAAGAAGCGCAAAAACAACGTCAGTGTCCACAGCCAGCAATAAATCATGCCTTTGTGAGTCACTGTGTGTGCAGTTTTGGACACACTTGAATTATAGGCTCATTAGTTATAAACTCGAACTTGAAACTATATGGAATGGAATTTGTTCTCCTCTCCAGGAAAATATCAATCTTTGCATCCATTGTACTGTTTTCTCACCAATATATTGCCTTGAAATTGACTGAAAACACAAGACAAACAGCTGCAGTGAGGTGCGTGCTGCTTTTGATTCAATCCATTTCGAGGTGTCAGACTGTTTCCTGCAAGTGGAATCCCTCCCAGCACACCAGCACCATCAAATCCAACAGCAGGAGGATACAATGCTATCTCTGCTGCAGAGAACACAGACTTGTTTTTTACTCCATCGGGCATTTCATATGCAGATCATCGAGGACTGAAGGTTCAAAATGCATCTGCAATGAGTGGAAATACAACTGCACACTAGATTTAGACCAGTATATTGGTTTCATACTGACACCAAGAAGCCACTGAGTAGAAATCACCACTGATCTGTGTCAGTAAATATTGTACCTCAAATTTTTGTATTAAAATCCTAATAGTTTATACTTTCATAGAAGAATAAAAGGACAGTGATTTGTGCAGTTAAAAGGACACACCTTCCATCTCAGTAAAGATCAAAGCACCATGCTGCATGCATGTTAACTTAAACACCTAACAACCTTTTAGTTCTGGGGGGAGAAAGGGTGGAGTTCCAGGGTATCACACAAGGCTTTCAATTAGTGCTAAATAAGTGATTAATAACAATTTCTGTCACTAAATCTAGATAATTCAATCAGATATGTTTCAAAAACCATCAACTGCACAAATACAGAGGAAATGAACACTCCGCCAACTCCAAGCTAGCACACAGCTACAACCCCCTGTGTGGACACACCTGTCAGTCAAAGCAGCCTCACCCCTAACTTTAAGTCTCATCAGTATCCAAAACACCAAACGGATTTGCGTGCAAGGCTGTAAACATGCTTTTTAAAATGGGAGCCCACAGGGATTGACTCACTTTTTGTTTCAGTCCCAAGTGGCCATTAGAGGAACTGCAAAGGCTACACCGTCTGCCACTGTCACCTCATTTGCCACTTAACACTCGACTTTAACACGGCTGCACATCAGAGTGTTTCAGATGATCTGAACAAATGACCAGTATAATTTTTTTAGTTGGACGGCCTATTAAGTTTACAAATATATGTTTCGAATCAAGTCCAAGTCAGGTTCTGTGAAGGCTTTTTCTGGAAACATAAGAAAGCTTGTAAGAAAATGAACAGTGAGGCACATTATCAGACCACCATTGTGCAGCTATACAGGAGGAGGGACAGAGCCCCCCGAGTAGAGTTGTTCCCACTGTCATACACTTATGGCAGATTTAGCCCACTATTATTAGTTGACAATAGCGGACAGTTATCAAACAAAGAGTGAAACAGTATCAGTATCATCTGCTGGTTCTTTATTTTTTTATATGTGTAATGGAAACTAATACGATACATTACATGTATAGTTATTACGATTGTCCTGATAGACTTGTTTTCCTGGTGATGTTGCATTTCTATATCTCAACAATAAAATGAGTTTAATGTACCCTGATATTTATTGTAAAACCAATCCCCCACCCTCATATTTTATATCTGTTTGATGGTTTGCTGTTGTATTCATTTTTTTTGTTATTGTTGTTGCATGAAACCATCAACGGGAGTGCGTTTCACACGACTGCCTTTCTTCTTCTTCTTCTTTTTAGTGCATTACGCTTTCTTTGCCGGCAGATTTTCTGATTCTTCCTCTTCTCTTTTTCAGGTGCTGGTTTGGCACACTCGCACAGAGAAACCACATCTCGCAAACGAGCCCAAACATCGAAAGGACACCGTCGCCATCGAGGTGTGATCGGGGCTGCCCGTCATCTCTTGGCTGAGACTTCTAGCAGCACTCTGTTTTCCTCTGCCTTTCGGGTTAATACAATCTGCTGGTGATGGACAGAGTCTCTGAGGAGCTGCATGATTCAAGACTCCTTGCTGTCTTTCAAACATGCTCTGTGAGAACTGGATAGCACCAAATACCTTTTACAAACTGGAATGACCTAGACTGTTCATTTCCTCGCATCCACAGCCTGCTGATGTAAAAAGTAAATGTTACTAGAAATGTAACATATCGTGTTGCTGAACTGAAAAGTGCCATGTGAGACGCATCGAATCATTGATATGTTTTTTTTAATTAACAATTCTGTGTCCTAATTAAAACCATGAAATTGTGATAGAATTGCTAAAAGAAGAAAAGGCTTGTGTGCCGGATGTGAGGCATACTGCTAAGGTTTCCTAGTGTTAAAGGAATGTTTAACATTTTTGTAGGGATGCACTGATACCAACACCAGTATTGTTTACCTGTTTGATACTGTGTTCATGTAGCTACTCTGATAACAGCTGTCACACAATGCTAACCTCTCCTTTAGGAGTTGGCTCTCCCACTAGTTTGTGAAGTCCTGTTCCTAAAACTTTGAGTTCGGTGTTATGACTGTCATCAGCATTTTTGAAACCAGACATCACAAGCACAGCTGTGAAACTGAAGGACACTACATGTTTATAGGGTAGCTGCTTTTCAGTCCGCAAGTAAGCCCACCCTAAAGCTTATTCTACTTTATTGTTCTTGTGGACACTTATTGGGACTAAAATTTGCAAAATAAGAATTGTGTTGTGTTCATTAGGATTTAAAATGTGTGATTGAGATCATAAACTCATTAGGAACGTTGTTACTGTGGATTAATGCCACAGGGCGAGAGGAAGAGGACACCCTTGGTAGTCTATTGAAGACTCAATTAGAAACAGCAACAGAGGCAGCAAGACAACATACCCAGTCACTGCCCAAAGTCTGCAAATCCAAATGATATTAGATGGCCTTAAAAGGAACATCAATTTGATGATACGGAGCCAACTGAGCATTCATGTTACAGGAAACATTTATTTGAATTCTGTAATTAAGCATCTCTGTTCTTAGTATTGGCAAGTACCCTAATGTAAGTTTGATTAAAAAAAAAAAAAAAAGAAGGTATTTCTGGATCCCTACAGTTTTGGAAACATGATTGTTTACTGGTACCAATTTCACACCCATGCCAAAAACTGGTATCAGAAGGCTTTTAACATAAAATTAGCTTAGCGTGAAGACTGGAAGGTAAAATATAATTATTTTAAAAAATAAACCCAGTAATGATTCCAAACACCTCCACACATCCTGTGTTGAATTTTTGCTCATTGTTAGCTAAACAGAGCAGAAACGGCTAATCTGATCCTTTAAGGCATAGCTGTCAAACTCTGGCCCGCGGGCCAAATTTGGCCCGCACCCTAATTACATTTGCCCTGCGAGGCCATACCAAATTACTATTAGAGCTGGCCAACTGGTATTATACAGCTAATATATATATCGTTTAGTATTAAGCTTTGCTTGTTCCATATTCAGTTTTTCAGCAAAACGTGTTTGAGTCCATAAGAAAAGATTCATTCTTATATCTGGAGGAATAAATATATTTCAATAAATATTAATGTTAGCCCGCGACTTTGTTCCAGTCTTTGAATTTTGGCCCACTGTGTATTTGAGTTTGACACCCCTGCTTTAAGGAATCTGGCCTAATATCTTGCTAGCGTTCTAGCAAGATTACAGTCTTTGCTATAAAATGCAACATAACCCACTACAATTTAATTAAAAAAAAATTCTAGAGATAATGTAGTAACTAGCTTCAAATGTGTTTGTAGAGGCATTTTTGAACTTTAATTAGGGGCAGGCAATTAGCTTTCCTTCTCTGGTAGTTTTTATGCTAAGCTAGGCTCCAACTCTGTAATTAATAAAACATTTTTTCCAACCTCACTCTTGGAAACTGAAGAAAGTGTATTTCCTAAATTACTGGAACATTACTATTCTTCTCATAATTCCCCTGAAAACTTTGGGTTTGTTTAAAAAAACGTTTGAATCCTTTTCATCAAAGTTTTAGCTCAGATTTCACAATAATGTCAGTTCGACTGCTGGCTGTGAAATGCCAATCAGATTCTGTCAGGAACCGCTGCCCCTGGTCTTTGTTTAAATTAAATCACATGAATGTCTCCAAGTTAATGCTGTTAAGGTTGATTGATACCTAAATACTATTTAATTATTAGAATGAGCTGATCATATAAACCTAATGAAGTGACAACATGCGTTTTCTCCTCCGTGTATATGAGGAATGTAATGAAGTTTGGAAGTGGCCCACATCAAGTTACAACACTCCTGACAAGCAGCCATCAATAATGTAGCATCTGTGAGCTGACAACAAAGGAAACCCATCTGTCAGCAGAGAAGGGAAAAGAAATGGAGAAGCTGGTATATAAGTGGTACAACACAGGCGGACACTTTCACTGTTCTAATGTGCAAAGAGCTCTTTTCCTGACAGCAGTATTGTCCTGAGCACTGAAGTTTAAATGGGACTGTATGTACAGTTGTGTTTGATGTACACACAAGAAATAAAAACAAGCTTTATTATCCAGGATTCAACAGCTTTTATTTCAAATGACTCACTTGTAAAACAGGCATCAGAAAAAAAAGGAGAAAAGAAAGTAAAAGATCTCAAAAAGATAAAACCATACTTTTAGAGTCATTAAACAAAGATGATCACAGAAAATTTCCTGTATATTTACAGTTTTAATGCATAAAACACATCTTTTTCCCTGTACTAGGCACCAGAAAATGTAAACGCACTGGAAATAAACCTGGATGACATTAAGTTATTAAGAATATGTTGTTTTACACGTTCTCCCACAGAGTGCTACAGTTATTGCATGGCAGAGGGACCCTGTACAGACATGAATCTCTGCATCAGCGTTCGGCAGTGTGATCTGAAGAACTGAAGAGTAATGATGATGTAATATGAACCCATCAAGGATTTTCATACAGGTCCACTTTAATCTTCCACTGTTCAGTCCCATTCCCGCTGCCAATCTAGCCCTCTGATTGGTCATCCAGGTTTATTTGCTGCAGACTAACTGTGCTTTTTTTGTACTACACACAACAAAACATCACACAGCGAATGGCGGAACGTACGGTTACAGCATCATACATGGAAGGACAAGCTTTTTGGGTGTCACACAGGTCCAGAATTTCAAATAAAAAGACAGATTTCCAACTCAGTAGTTGGGACCAAACTGCCAGTTCTTATATATTTACCACTCAACAAAAATCTGAGACGCAGAATCACAATCAACCACTGATACAGTACCTGCTCTGCTATTTAAAGTTTAGTTAAGACATACTGCTGTGATCCCAGGATTCCAGTGGTGGTTTAATTTCCCTCAAGGCGCATGGGAGAGGGTGCACACTTCAACAACAAGGAATATTTTAACTGGGTTGGAGCCCAGTCTGCACTAAACCTAACTCGTTTGGTTTTAAAACACTTCAAAACATCACAGCGAGGCTACCAAAGGCACCCAGGGGACTGCGGGACCGCCCAGCAATTACTGAGACTTAAAGGGAATGTTTGACATTTGAAGGTTTGTGTTGTTTTTTTAATGCAGCCATCAATTTGAGTAACATGGACAAGTTTACTTTCGGTTGACAAAGTATACTGGATAATGAGATGTGTCTCTACACACGTATGTGTGTTTGTGTGTATAAATACATATAACGATAAAAGACATGTCAAACAAAGCATCGGCTTTGTTAAGCATTAGCTCTTTTAAATAACTACGCTAACTGTGCTAATGGCTTCTGTTTGTTAAAGAGGTGTATGCTCTCGATACTCAAGATGAAAGAGTGCAGTTATTGCAGTCTGTCCCTGTCATGTCGCTAGATAACTAAGCAGATGAGTCGGTGACCAGTTCCAGAAAATTCTTTTAGCTAGCACCAGTAGGTTAAGATTGCCCTAGCGCTATGTAGCAACTAGCTGAACGGAAAGATTTGAAACAGTTTTAAAAAGTCAAAAATAAAAATAAAAACTGAAAACTAATCTAATCAACACACATTGATGTTTGTCTGACATATAAGCGGATATGTAATAAGGATAAGCTAAGGGTCGAGTAACTCTGGCACCTTAATTGTGAATCAATTGCCGAGCAGCTAACAACAAACAATAACGCAAAGTCTAGAAATCAGGAAACCTGTGATAATATATTTACATTTACAGTGTGAACTGTTTGAATTGCGATACATTGGAGATTTTGCTTAACTTTAGAGAGACTTCAGTTGGTTTGTTTTGGTTGTTTTGGTTGTTTTTGAACAGTACCAGATTAGCATATCCGCATATCGTCTGCTAAATTAAGCTAATTGCATCTTAGCTTCAAGCTTTACAGCAAACATTAAGTTTTTTCTTCTTTTTTTTTTCAAGAAAATATGTACTTATATACTTAAACCTGTGTATGTGTGGGGGAAACAGTAGTTTTAGATTATATGTCAGCAAGCCCAAGCATAACATATTTTATTTCTCTAACTTTAAAATATTATCATATAATTATATAATACTTTATAAAAAAATGTATTACTATCAAAACAAAAACCATAAAATAGAAAACAAAATGGAACAATTTATGCTATTTAATTGTTTATTTTAAAAAAACATAAACACAGAGATTTATTATGAACCTTGGGCAAGTGGTTTCCCCACAACTGAAAACCACTGGTGTAAGTCATCAGTACACTGTCTGCTGTGGGAATAAGCTGAACCCGCAGAGACTGTAACAAGACAGCTTGACTTCACAAGTTTCAAAGGGAAAATGGTTGAACTGTTTGATCATTAGTGCAAAAGTAAAAGTAACACCTACTGTATTAGCAGGTCAGCGAGACCTCTTTTTTTTTTTAGCAGAGGCTAAAAAAAACCTTGAACCAAAGTTTTTCTGAGCTGAAGCATTGACCTCTCTCCCCTGAAAAAACCCAGGAGATTCACTTTTTTTTTCACATAAATACAGTACTGCTTGGATGATTATCTGCTACGAGGCTGTGCTTGCCCTAAAGGAGCGGGGGGGTGGGGGTGGGGGGGTGGGGGGAGGAAGAGGGACCATTACAATATACAGTGCAGAAAGTAGGGAGGGGACAGGTAGCATAGACCAACCACAAGACAGCCATATCTACTGCAGATACTGAGAGACTACTCACTAACTATCCAGTTTGGTAATGATATCATCGTAGTATTACAGACACTTGGAGTTTTTGCTCCAGCAGCTTTGTTACATCTCTTTTGTTTTCTTTGTCTTTTTCCGACAACAACAAAAAGGAAATCAGAAAAGAAAAGGAAGTCAACTATAGACGCAACATAGCGGTTGCCGGGTTTTTTTTCGTTTTGTTTTTTACTGCTCCAATCCATTGTGATGTCATCTTGGCCCTCTAAAGGAACTGCAGTGAAGGTGTGTTGGGGCACACGGACTGTCCTTGCTGTATATAATCAGAGCTGTAGGGACATGGATTGGTTGGAAAATACAGGTGTTTTCTTGCCATGTCGCTGCCCTACACTCCCCACCCCACCACCTCATCCTCTGGACCCCATCCTCGTCACTTCCACAGCTGAGTGCTGAGGGTCTGGCCTGAAGGATGTTCTGATGGAGCTGCGGGCCAACCGGCCCCAGGGGTGCCTGATTGGCTGGAAGCAGCTGGCGCAGGCCCTCCACCACTCAGAGCCATGCCTGACATCTGCTGGGTCATCTGAGATAGAAAACAGAGGAGAAAAGTTACTGTTTGAGTTCATCAGAGCAAACACAGAGTTATTCTGTCATTTCAGAGCCTGGAGGTGGGTGTTGAGGTTTCTCCATCCTTTAACTCCATTTCCTGGCTTATTTCCAACCCTCTTTAACTTCCCCTCTGTTCCTAAATGCTCCCTGCCCTCTCTCCTCTCTTTTCACAATCCCTCACCCTCTTCCACATCCCTAACTCACTCCCCTTCACCCCCTTCTTCCCTCCATTCGGTCTTATCTATTATGAATGTGCTTTGGTGCAGTGCTGCTCACTTATCTGGTCATCAGAGAGCTGAGAGCATGTGTGTAGGTACTGTGTGTGTGTGTAGTAATGCATGTGTGTCAGCTAACCAAGCACTCATCGGCTCACCGTTCCATCTTCTGCACAAAATGTGCGTGCGCACACACACACACACACACACACACACACACACACACACTTTCATGCACTGTACAGCTGCGTTAGAGCGGACTACTGACTTCCATACACTGGGGTGAGGGCACTTTGGTCATCGCATTTTAGACAGAACTTCAAAGGGGGGGTTCAGACTTTCAGTCAGCTTCATGTTTGGACTTTGTTAGGGGTAGTAAGAAAGGAGTGAATGTAATAGGTTAATAAAAGACAACTATATAAAACCAACAAACCCAAAGCATCTCAGAGGCAATTTATGTTTGCTGAATAATCTCAGTTGTAAAATGTAACCTCATACGCCAGGGTTCAGAGAGCATAAGAAGATTCA